CTCACAGATCCTGATAGCACCCTCTTGGACCCTGAAGACCGGAAGTTGACGGTCCACATAGACTGGATCGACTCCCATCTGCTGGTACTGCCCAACTACAATAGTCTTGATGACGTCACACGCCTACACAAGCAGCAGATGTGGTGAGTCGTGGATGACGTTCACAGTGATCGTGTGTTGTATTACACATACTCATTCAATATGTATTCTGTCTCATGGGTTTATGTCATCATTCGGGGGCACGGGTGGCCCAGTCGTCTAGGGCGCCGCGATTCGCTGTGCAGAGTTGCGTCCCTTGGGCACGCCAGAAACCTATGATTGTGGGTTTGAATCCCGGTTCGCCCCGATTATGTTTCTAGGTCTGTCAGCACCATACCCGTGCTTGTGGGTTTCACCGAAGTGGTAAACGTCTGAAACCGGCATCACTTCAGGCTATCTTCTGGCATTAAGCTGACACGCCGCGATATAACTGAAAAACTGTTAAAAACGGCATTAAACCCAACTCACTCACTCACTCATTATGTCATTATTCATCTGTGCTTCTTAAGTCCAGGATTTCGTTCCACATGATATTAAGCATATGAAACTATCTTTACGTCAATGTAAGGTTAGTACATTAACCTAAGAAAACATTATATCCTTTTCACAAATCCTCCAGAGAGATGGTAATATTTAAGACAAGAACACTCTCAGATGAGCGGTGACCTTTACGAATATTAACGTGCCATTTTACATAAAAAAAATCTCAATATATACTCCTCAAAAGAAGTTAATGAGTGAGTATTGTGAGTATTGAGTATTGTACCCATGTGCAGAATCGAATCGAAAAGAGTTAAAGAACGTCCGATTCATTTATGTCACTATAGTTAATCTGTCATGGCATGACAGATTAACTATAGTAAGATGAATGAAATGGATTTTCTTTGACGTGTTTTCAGTGGTATATTTATGTGTCATTGTAGCGAGGTAAGGTTCATTTTCATTTATCAGTTACTATATCAAAGGAATATATATTTTCTATTTCAGCACGAAATATATCTTGCTTCTTTCATGACAATTACACATTAATTTGGTATATAAATTACATTTTCGTACTCCCCCACACAAATTGCCCTTCAAATGGTTGGAAAGCTGGCGTCAGGATACTTCGATTTTTCATCAGTGCCAAGTATTTTCTATCCCTGGATTTTCAAACTGGCACTAAAAACACTGATTGTATTATGTTCCCTTTAAGGATCCTATTGATGAATGCAGAGCCTACACGGCTTAAACGTGGTCTGTCGTCTTCAGAAATCTCAAATGCAAACACAACCTCTAATCATTGAATATTTATGACACAAATCAAAGCCGACCATCAATATACGGGTCTTAGTTCCGCCTGATCTTATCGGTGTAAGCTACAACATAAATATGCAGTGTCTTCATTTCTTTATTCTTCTCGGGTTTTATAGCCAGGTTCAATCAATCTCATATTAACATTTTGTACCATCACGTGAGGAACGTAACACTCTCCTGTTACTGAACGCTTTGATGACTGATGAAGAACGACATCAGCAGACTTTGCAGAATTAACACATAATTTGCTTTGCATGGACTCCTTTGACTTATAAATATAGCTACTGAGAAGTGCTTGAGGCCCTGAAACACTGCCACAGCTTTGTGTTATATGACATATTCACAATATTCCTTTAAAAGTATAGTCGGAGAATCCTTGAATTATTACAATAATTATATTTCTGTTCACGATTTAATATCTTATAATAAATCTATAAATATAAATAATCATTTTAAAACACCAGAGTGTTTTAGATATACATTCATTTTCCACTGTTTTACCAGATTTTACGAAAATATGTTAGGCACATGTTAAGCACAACATATTAAGCACAAAACGTTAAGTACAATATGTTAAGTACAATATGGTTAGCACAATATGTTAAGCACAATATGTTAAGCAAAATATGTAAAGTACAATATGTTAAACACAATGTGAAAAGCACAGCATGTTAAGCATAACTTGTTAAGCACAACATGTTAAGCACAATATGTTAAGCACAACATGTTAAGCACAAAATGTTAAGTACAATATGTTTAGTACAATATGGTTAGCACAATATGCTAAGCACACGATGTTAAGCACAACATGTTAAGCACAACTTGTTAAGCACAATATGTTAAGCACAACATGTTACGCACAACTTGTTAAGCACAATATGTTTAGCACAACTTGTTAAGCACAAAATGTTAAGAACAATATGTTAAGCACAATATGTTAAACACAATGTGTAAAGCACAACATGTCAAGCACAATATTTAAGCACAATATGATAAGTACAATGTGTTAAGCACAACCTGTTAAGCACAACTTCTTAAGCACAATATGTTAAGCACAACATGTTAAGCACAATATAGGAAGCATTTCTTGGACCTTGCAACGAAAGATGAACTTTACAAACAGGGCAGGTTATAATCGTCGAAAGATTAACCATTATTATAAAAATGTCATCTCCGTGTGTGTGAATTAATAATAAATTGGTAGCTTTATCCAAGTTGCAGTTATAGCCTAATAACGATTATCACATAACACTGGCGTCATTTCCTTATCTGAAGATAAACCTTAATTCTAGTAACTATTTATCACCTTTTCCAACTGGAGAAACGCGTATTTACCGCAGAACTGTCATTCGCAGGTTTACTGCTAAACCCTGTGCCACAGACAAAGACACTTGCTATGTAGGCTAATCTCCTCAACATCATAAACGTTATACCAGACACGATGTAATTATCCGTGCACAATACCAATGATTTGCGTGCCCCTCGCCTCTCCTTACAAGCTAATATGTTGACATTAACATCTGATAGGGCTTTTGACCATCAAAGAGAATAAACGAAGCTTTAAATGAACCTTTGCTTGGCGTATTTGCAGGAGAGAGATTATGGCCCTCCAAGCTGAAAATTACGCCCTTGAGAAGCAGTTGTATAGTTACCAGCAGAGCATCGCCAAGACCAACTCCAGGGGAAGGTACGACATCGATCAGCTGAAACCACAGCAGTCAATATGATGGGGCATACCAAATTCAACATGTGGTGCGATGAGATTCAAGATACAACAGTGATTCGATCGACACGTGACATTCATCACGTTCTGCGATAAAATTCAACACAAAGCACGTGTTTGATGGATGAAACAGATTTAACATGTGATATAATTGTATACAACCGATTCAATACTCCATACCACAGACCAGGACAGATTCAAACCTCGGTATGATAGGACACTGCACATTCATCGATTACGATTCAGTTATTCAACGGTTCAAGTAGGGTAGATACTGTAACTTCATATTAAATACTCGATATAATAAAATAGACTCTCTATGACATGGGATACAGCACTTTTAAACTCTTTATAACATGGAGTGCAACAGTTCTTAACTCTCTATGACATGGAATACAACACTTTTAAACTCTCTATGACATGGAATACAACACTTTTAAACTCTCTATGACATGGAATACAACACTTTTAAACTCTCTATGACATGGAATACACCATTTTTTAACTCTATATGACATGGAATACAACAGTTCTTATCTCTCTATGACATGGAAAACAACAGTTCTTAACTCTCTATGACATGGAATACAACACTTTTAAACTCTCTATGACATGGAATACACCATTTTTTAACTCTATATGACATGGAATACAACAGTTCTTATCTCTCTATGACATGGAAAACAACAGTTCTTAACTCTATATGACATGGAATACAACAGTTCTTATCTCTCTATGACATGGAACACAACACTTTTAAACTCTCTATGACATGGAATACAACACTTTTAAACTCTATGACATGGAATACACCATTTTTAAACTCTCTATGACATGGAATACAACACTTTTAAACTCTATGGCATGGAATACAACACTTTTAAACTCTCTATGACATGGAATACACCATTTTTAAACTCTCTATGACATGGAATACAACACTTTTAAACTCTCTATGACATGGAATACACCATTTTTAAACTCTCTATGACATGGAATACAACACTTTTAAACTCTATGGCATGGAATACAACACTTTTAAAATCTCTATGACATGGAATACACCATTTTAAAACTCTAGATGACATGGAATACAACAGTTCTTATCTCTCTATGACATGGAAAACAACAGTTCTTAACTCTCTATGACATGGAACACAACACTTTTAAACTCTCTATGACATGAAATACAACAGTTCTTAACTCTCTATGACATGGAATACAACAGTTCTAAACTCTCCATGACATGAATACAACAGTTACAAAATGTCACGTGATAGGACACAACACAAACTTCAATTGTAGGAAAGTCAACAGTCAACATTAAGGTTACAGATTAGTCAACAGTATAGAATTGGTTAAAAGAATTCGACATAATGACTGAGAGTATAATTCAAATGTCGACACAACTACTGACAACCTATTAAACATTTGATATGCTGGCTTTCAATATTCTAAAAGTCAACATTTGGGTTGAAAATGATAACATATTCAACAGATGATATCATGGAAACTTGCAGAACATACAATACCTTTGTGCAATTTGAATGTCCTGCACCCATAGTCCCGAAGCTCCATGTGTAGGAAAGGTCTCCGGGTAGACTCCGGTGTCTGGAAACACGGATAAACAATGCCCACTACTAACCTGACCTGGAATATTCTGTTTTTATGTCTGAGGGCAATCACAGACTGCAAAGGAAGAACGGATGGTAGACCCCGTATACTCTACATGTGAATAGGAAGAGTAAATGATGTTGACAGAAACGGAAGGTAGTCACTGCATAAATTTACATGTGAATGGAAAGTGTAAATTATGTTGACAGAAACGGAAGGTAGTCACTGCATAATTTCACATGTGAATGGAAAGTGTAAATGATGTTTACAGAAAAGGAAGATAGGCACTACATAATTCCAGCTGTGAATAGAAAGTGTAAATGATGTTTACAGAAAAGGAAGATAGACACTACATAATTTCAGATGTGAATAGAAAGCGTAAATGATGTTTACAGAAAAGGAAGATAGACACTACATAATTCCAGATGTGAATAGAAAGTGTAAATGATGTTTACACAAAAGGAAGATAGACACTACATAATTCCAGATGTGAATAGAAAGTGTAAATGATGTTTACAATAACGGAAGGTAGTCACTGCATAATTCGATATGTGAATGGAAAGTGTAAATGGTGTTGACAGAAACGGAGGGTAGTCACTGCATAATTCTCTAAGTGCAAGGCGTCTATGAGGTTCACAGGAAGATGGAGTGTTATTGATCTTGTTAATGTGGTGATTCCACTTGATCAACATGACTATAGCTTCAACAGCACAGAATGTCATTAAATGTGTTGTCGAGATCTGTTCCACATTGTGTTGTGTGTTGTGTGTGATAGATGTGATAAGTGACAGTATTTCGTGTCAGTACATCAATGACCTGGCCACGGCTAGGACATATGCTCTGTGTGAACACCTTCCGTGAAGGAATCATACTGTCCCCTGAATGACTTCGAATTCATTCGTCGGATGCACTAAACGTGATCATTATTGCTGGCTTACCAGTTACAATTGTTCATTGTACGTATCATGTGAATATAGAATATAGAATGAAACATTCAGCGAGAGGTATATGAGACATTTATAAGGGTGCACAAGGCTCTTCCATTCCAAGATCCGTCTATGAACATGTACACTGTTGTTGTTCCATATGCCTACTGTGGATACGTACATATCCAGCAAGCATGTGTTGTATGGTAGCCCCTATGCATTTTACCCCGTTATTTCCTCGCTGAAGTCTTCAGTGTTGACACTAAGATATTCTATAAGAGATTGTTCTTATGGTGCTGCAATGACAATGTCACAATGACAGACATACATCACATAATTGTCTCCAGAACAGTGTGGCTAAGCGTCGTTGCCTGTCAGCTATCCAGTATGTTGACAAATAGAGCTGTTATGGCCAATTTCTGTTGACGGACCGTTTGTATTGAATTGACACGACACCTCTAGAAAGTCTGGTTCTGGTCTAATTGACTTCTCATTTGTGCCCGTTGCTTTTTCCGATAGAATCCTGGTAATGCAATGAGAAAACGTTTCCCCGTGAACAGTCCTTAGGAGCAGTTAACATGACGTCACTAGCGCTAGTCATACTTGTGCGATTCTAACAGAATTCAATATTTTGCTCTCAAAGGACTTGGATACGATCAGATAGAATTTCAGATGCATGACATAGAGCCCTGGGGTTATCTGGATATGAAATGTGAGAAGTTTATTGTCTATAAATCCATCGAAACATAGTTGCTTTAAACTCCTTCGTGTAGTTGATATGCTCATTTTTGTCAGTTGAGGAAAAGTTTCTGATAATTATTGTTTTAAGTTTTCATTTGATAAATTCGACATTTCCTAAATACCTTCCTGAAGATTATATCTCATGTCCTTCAAACAACATATGCTATCCGTCCGTCAGCGACTTCTAGCTTAAGGCAGCTGAACGCTGACACAAAGGTAAACCATCTATACCACAAATAACCCATACATCACCAGAGGAGGACACACCTCAACACATTTTGGTCATTCTGGTATGTTCTTTCACGACTTGGGAATACCAATATGCAGGTGTTGCATAGTGTTGTGTCCCGATACTTAGTCGCCCAAGATCTGATTTCAGATTCGCCCTGATTACGACCCATGGTTTGTCAGCACTACTCACGTAATCTTGGGCTTCACTAAACGACTAAATGCTTTGTTACGTTGGGCCCTGCAGAAACCTAACGTGTTGATACATGTATACGACTAAATGCTTTGTTACGTTGGGCCCTGCAGAAACCTAACGTGTTGATACATGTATACGTGTACATGCTTTGTTACGTTGGGCCCTGCAGAAACCTAACGTGTTGATACATGCACACGGCTTAATGCTTTGTTACGTTGGGCCCTGCAGAAACCTAACGTGTTGATACATGCACACGGCTTAATGCTTTGTTACGTTGGGCCCTGCAGAAACCTAACGTGTTGATACATGTATACGTGTACATGCTTTGTTACGTTGGGCCCTGCAGAAACCTAACGTGTTGATACATGTATACGTGTACATGCTTTGTACGTTGGGCCCTGCAGAAACCTAACGTGTTCATACATGTATACGACCAAATGCTTTGTTACGTTGGGCCCTGCAGAAACCTAACGTGTTCATACATGTATACGACCAAATGCTTTGTACGTTGGGCCCTGCAGAAACCTAACATGTTGATACATATATACGACTAAATGCTTTTCAAATTGATGTAAAATCAAACTTTTATAAGTAACTAAGTAACAATTGCCCGTATCTGTTACAGTATATGTGTTACGACAATCGTGCTTTATGTATATAAATAATGTGACATCAAATAGATGATGTACTGACGTGTTGCGTTGAGAATGTCGATGTGTCAGTTATGCAATCACTGGAATGTGAAAATGCACGTTGAGATGCATTCGAATGTCAATTGATGAAAGCTAGAAATTTGTGTTCAAGCTACAATGTTTTCCTTACCCCGTATTACAATGACAACAATTGGTTGACTTAGAGCTTTTCTCAAATCCGTGTTCTTTAGGGCTACTACAGCTCTGTATGTTAGCATGTGTACCTTCCCTTTTGTATGTTACCGTGGAGTACATGGTGTTCATAACACATTCATATTACCGATCCGAGAATGATTTGATTGTTTGCTTGTTGTTTAACGCCGCACCCAGCAATATTCAGGCTATATGACGGCGGTCTGTAAATAATCGAGTCTGGACCAGTCATTGACATCATGAACATCGATCTACACAACTGGGATGCGATGATATGCATCAACCAGCTCAGCGAGTCTGACCATCCAATCCTGTTAGTCGCCTCTTACGACAAGCATAGTCGCCTCTTCTGACTAGCATGGGTTGCTGAAGACCTATTCCACCACGGATCTTCACGCTGTATCAGTGCTGTGTAGGATTATGATGTTCTGTCGTTCATTGTTGAACATGTTGATGTACGGTACTGATCATTTTGGTTTTGCAATGTTTCCCCATCCAACGTTTAGGGGTTAAGTAGATGTATTCGACTTTTTACATTTTTTGAAAATTTCATTCTTTATACTTTTCAATCCATGTTTCTATACTCTCATTTGTGTAAAATCGATTCTTCTATACACTTAATTATTCCTTTCCGAATTAGCCTTTTATGTCATCTTTATGTGACACCAGTTGTGTTGATTCGAGCAGGCACAGGATTTAACGGTTGTGAATGTATCACAATAAATGTTTGTTTACTTAATAAAAAAATGTTTTATTTTATTCTGAATCCTTAGAGCATCATCAACAACTGACGGAAGCTGAGGGTGCAGTTGTGCTTACAGACGTACCTCTTACGTAATGCGTGCGTGTGCGTGTGTGTGTACGTGTACGTGTGCGTGTGTCTGTGTCTGTGTCTGTGTCTGTGTCTGTGCGTGTGCATGTGCGGGTGCTATTGCGTGTGCTAGTGCGTGTGTGTGTGCGGGTGCGGGTACGTGTGTGTGTGCGGGTACGTGTGCGTGTGCGTGTGTGTGTGCGTGTGCGTGTGCGTGTGCGTGTGCGTGTGCGGGTGCGTGTGCGTGTGAAAACAATGCACAGCTCCCTCACAGGATCTAACAGACACGTGCACTGGCGTTGTTTCAGAATGCAATCATAACTTCACAGTTTTCTCAGACGATCTAACAGACATTTGCACTGGCGTTGTTTCAGAATGCAATCATTATTACACAGTTCTCTCAGACGATCTAACAGACATGTGCACTGGCGTTGTTTCAGAATGCAATCATTATTACACAGTTTTCTCACATGATCTAACAGACATGTGCACTGGCGTTGTTTCAGAATACAATCATAACACTTTACAGTTCTCTCAGACGATCTAACAGACATGTGCACTGGCGTTGTTTCAGAATGCAATCATTACTACACAGTTCTCTCAGACGATCTAACAGACATGTGCACTGGCGTTGTTTCAGAATGCAATCATTACTACACAGTTCTCTCAGACGATCTAACAGACATGTGCACTGGCGTTGTTTCAGAATGCAATCATTACTACACAGTTCTCTCAGACGATCTAACAGACATGTGCACTGGCGTTGTTTCAGAATGCAATCATTACTACACAGTTCTCTCAGACGATCTAACAGACATGTGCACTGGCGTTGTTTCAGAATGCAATCATTACTACACAGTTCTCTCAGACGATCTAACAGACATGTGCACTGGCGTTGTTTCAGAATGCAATCATTATTACACAGTTCTCTCAGACGATCTAACAGACATGTGCACTGGCGTTGTTTCAGAATGCAATCATTACTACACAGTTCTCTCAGACGATCTAACAGACACGTGCACTGGCGTTGTTTCATAATGCAATCATTACTACACAGTTCTCTCAGACGATCTAACAGACATGTGCACTGGCGTTGTTTCAGAATGCAATCATTACTACACAGTTCTCTCAGACGATCTAACAGACATGTGCACTGGCGTTGTTTCAGAATGCAATCATTACTACACAGTTCTCTCAGACGATCTAACAGACATGTGCACTGGCGTTGTTTCAGAATGCAATCATTACTACACAGTTCTCTCAGACGATCTTACAGACATGTGCACTGGCGTTGTTTCAGAATGCAATCATTACTACACAGTTCTCTCAGACGATCTAGCAGACATGTGCACTGGCGTTGTTTCAGAATGCAATCATTATTACACAGTTCTCTCTGCCAAAAAAGAAACGCAATCCTGAATTTATATGTTTATTTTATATATCATATGAATAATCAACAGATGGTAATCGATTGTCCAAAATTGGCACACATCATTGTCACTGACCCAGGTTCCACATGTCACGCATTAAACAGTACTGTAGATTGTGAAGGTGAAGGTCATATGTACTCATTATCATGTATGGCCAGTCAGAGTATAAAAACTGACTGGCATCGTCGTCCCATGGAAGCCATTAAATCCCGAATTGTGGCCTGGGGAATGTTCACCAGCCCTTCCTGCAGTGCTTGCGCCACTGTCGGAGGTTCTGTGGTTGTTGCTGATGTGCACGCTGTCGTGATCCAGTCTATGCCCTTAATGTTCGATTGGGTATACATCTGGAGACCTGGAGGGCCATGGCAGCACCTGGATGTGATTCCTGAAAAAAGGCTGTTGTCAGCCTTGTATTATGTCGGGCGTTGTCTTGTTGTCAAATGGCGTTCGCTAGTTGCATAATGTGACGGAATCTCATCCGTGTAAGGTTGTTTCGTTTAATTCCCCAGAGCTTGCACCAAGTCTGTTCCACCAGTGAAGGAGATGGCTTCCCACATCATCACACAACCACCACCATATCTGTCCACTTCCTGTATGCAGTCTCGTGCATAACGTTCACCGCGACGCCTGTAAACACGACGTATACCATCCGCAAGGCGGTGAAAAAAACCGCGACTCGTCCCTAAACCAAACATGTCTTCATCGCAATTGTGGCCATACTCTGTGACCTTAACACTATTGACGTCGCAGCCCAAGGTGCAGGTTCGTCAAAATGACACCTCGAAATTGACGTCCAGCGCGAATACCTTCAGCGCGTAAACGGTTTCTCGCAGGCAGGGATCATATCCTTCGGAATCCGGGTATTGCCGTTGTTTTAGAGGTGGCCGTGGTGGTTCCTTCACGTAAAGGGAAGTAGCCACATGAATCTGTCCAATGCTCTAGTAGGTATACGTGGTCGACCGGATCTGCAAAGGTCACGTGTTGTCCCGTGTGTCTGATGACGGTTCCACAGCCTTGTAATGGTGCTTGGTGCTACGTGGAAAAATCTGGCTACAGCTAAGGATGACTCTCCTGTTTGCAGTCGGCCAATGGCGTTGCTGTGTTGGGCTTCCGTCAGTCGTGGCATGTTTTTGCTGTTCACTGGCTGTGATGGCCTGCAAATGAGAACCCAATGTTTTTGTAATACTTGATGTTGCACGTGCATGTCGTGTTTGTATTTTTCGGCGCCAGGCTCTCACGTGGTTATGTTTTTGCGATTTTTTCAAAACTTTCTGCAATGCCTATTTCTTTCCACACACTTTCCAAATGAACAATTCATCTTCAATATTAATTTTGTATGGGTGTCGGCATCACTATGTCAGGTATATACGAATTGACAACTAATGAGAGCATAGTAAGTAACACATACCGTATACAAAGATTGATATAATAATCCTGTTTGATGTTTTAAAGGAAATAATCAAATAAAACCAAGACTATGGGGTTTTCTATTTACAATCGTTTATGGATTTTATCCCATTGTAAAGCGTAACTCCACAAGTAATGTACGCTGGAAGATTATTCCCCGGCCAATGTATCAGTGTGCACTCGAGTTTCAGCCTCAGCTCCCTGTGGAGTATACAGTCAAAGCTACATGTGAGGTGTTTGAAGGTTAACAGTCACATTATCATTTCATATTTCGAACTTGCCTGAGGACCGA